TCAATCATCGATTCATGGTTGAAAGTTTGAATTTTTATTTATATTGAAAGGTAAATTTCGAAGATCTGTTGGTTATATGGTTGTTTTATGTGAATTTGTTGATTTCGTTGGGATGATTCAGTTCATTTTAACCTTATTTTGCAGATCTGATTTTGATTAGAGGGATTCAAAGAGATCCGTTTGTATTCATTCCGGCGATTCAACATTTGTTTGATCGGAATTGGTGAAGATAAATTTTTCATTTGATTGAACGTATTTTTTTTTGGCAAAAGGAAAATGTCGATTTTGCCAAAAACTGATTCAATCCACATTCGAGAGGTTTGGTTTGACAATCTGGAGGAAGAATTCACGTTAATGCGCGAAATCGTCGATGATTTTCCGTTTGTTGCCATGGATACGGAGTTTCCCGGAGTGGTAATCCGGCCGGTTGGGAATTTTAAGAACAGCAACGATTACCATTACCAAACGCTCAAGGATAACGTGGATATGTTGAAGTTGATTCAGTTAGGGCTGACCTTTTCGGATGAGAATGGCAACTTGCCTAAGTGTGGAACTGACAAATACTGTATTTGGCAATTCAATTTCCGTGAATTCAACCCTAACGAGGATGTTTTCGCTAATGATTCAATTGAGTTGTTGCGCCAAAGCGGCATTGATTTCAAGATGAACAATGAAAAAGGTGTTGATGCCAAGCACTTTGCAGAGCTTTTGATGTCATCAGGGATTGTGCTGAATGATAGTGTTTCTTGGGTTACTTTTCATAGTGGGTATGATTTTGGATACCTCTTGAAGCTTTTGACTTGCCAGGATTTGCCTGAAACACAAGCAGGTTTCTTTACCTTGATCAATGTGTACTTTCCTGTCATTTTCGACATCAAGCACTTGATGAAGTTCTGCAACAGCCTTCATGGTGGATTGAACAAGCTTGCCGAGCTGTTGGAGGTTGAGAGGGTTGGTATTTGTCATCAGGCGGGTTCAGATAGCTTGCTCACTGCTTGTACATTTAGAAAGTTGAAAGAAAACTTCTTTAGCGGTTCACTGGACAAGTATGCCGGTGTCTTGTATGGTCTAGGTGTTGAAAATGGGCAGAGTACCCATTGAAGAAAAAATTTAAATGAAAAAAAAAAACTTAAAGAGGATAGATGTTTATTACTTGTGTGTGATGTAAGATACCACACACTTCCAATGTATACTTTTGGTAAAAGAAATTGTGGTTATTTATAATATCCACCTTATTTTGGTTTGATACAACTCTTTCTTCACTCCTTTCTTCATTGTTATTGTTTCGGTGTTACTGCTCATTGTTTTGCTCCAGGATGAGAAAGGTATCATTACTGAAGCTTTACATATGTAGGCATTAGCTGGTAGCTTCCAGGTTTGTTCTGATTCGTTTCCTCCGCTTTTTCATTGAGCTATGGGGGAAGGATATGCTAGGATAGAATTGTTGTACATCAAGAAAAAGTTTTGTGCTGTTTTGACATGTTTGATTGGAGTTGAAAACAAATGGTGCTGCCTATGATTATCATCCTCACTTGTGGAATGAAATGATTATCCTCAATCAAGGTTTTCCGTCTAACTGAACGTAGGTTACAACATCATTTACAACCCATAAGAGGCTTCTGTTTAGTTACTATGTTTTTGGAATTATCTCTAGCCATGTACTCTTCAAAGGATTTCCCCCAATTTTAGCAAAGAATGAAAAGAGAGATGAGGAGAGTCTCTGGATAACCTCTTCCCCTTACTTAATTGGAGCTAGTTGCAGTTTAGAACTATAAACCATGTTCTTACTTACATCTTATTGTTTTAGCACATGTACTTAACACTACTGCTATTTACTTGTCCTGTATATGACATATAGAGGATAAGATTGGTTGGCATATTGCATCACTCTGGAAGAATGAGGATCTCTGTTTTCTGATTTACTGCCATGCCTTGCATTATTGGTTTTCCTTTTTCCTTGTATTGGTTGTGGAATGATTCTATGTTGGGGGAGGATCTGGGCTCTCTAACCTATGGCTGTTATATTTTTGTTGTAGTTTTTGTTTGAACTATTATGAGATAACTCTCGGTTTGCCATAGTTGTCCTCTGTAGTGATTTAATAATTGTTGTTAGAATAGGATTGTGTATACCTAACAATTGTAATTCACAGTTACTTCAGATTAAGGAAGTTTGTTGAGTGGCTGATTTATTCTCTTGAAAGATCAGTTGACTCTGATGATATTTCTCTGGACTCTCTGTTATAAAGCTTCAAGTGAATTTGGTTGTTGGAGTTTTGAATTAATAGTGTGAGTTTGTATAAACATTGAATTAGAGTAAGATAAAAGAAGAGAAGATGTGGAAAGAAGATCTGTGAACTTGTTATTGAAAAATAGAGGACATGCCCTATATGTTGCTGGTTTGAAAAAGCATAATGGTAAAAATTTGGTTTTCTAGTTTTGTATTATAGCATGTCACTGACATGTCTGATCTTGTGAATCAAAAGATGCTAGTACTTGTTGCCATGTGTTTTTGATCTGCTTCTGCGCAAGCTTGTTATTCAAGTCTTTGTGAACTGGAAATTTTACAGTTGTAATTTATTTCTGAATGTTCCAACTTGGGTCGATTAACGAAAGGGCAAATGCTTATTACCTTTTTGATATAAGATATTTGCCTCAGATCCAAAAAGTTGGTTTACTTTCTGATATTATGTTTGGAGCTGATCCACTGTTGAAGAACTTCTTTGGGTAAAGCTGAAGTAAATACTTGGAGAAGGATTCGAGATTGGAAGAGCCAATATCTCAAAATATTTCATGTGGGCTTCCATGCTTTGTTTAGACCGTAAGCATTATATGTTGACTAGTAGAGTGATGATCAGGAGGCTAGAAAACCTTCTTATTACATGTTTGGGATGCATGGTTATTTTAACCTTGTTGTGATCGCGTCTGCCTAATAACAGAATGGTGAAAACGTATGATTGCATTCCGTTTGCTTACCTACAAATGACTGGTCCATTCATCAGATATGTAGTGCTCAAGTTTTGGTTTCATAGGCAGACAGAAGTATTGAAAGTGAATACTTCATAGTTCATATGGTGCTGCTTAAACATAGGAATTTCTTGGAAATAAATCCCTTCTCCCATCCCAGGGACTGGACCTTCTGTTTGCGTTATACATAAACATGAGTGTGTGCTGAACAACAGACTTAATGATTTGAGGGCAAGATCCTGTTGGCTTGTTTGGTTATGGCATATTTTATGCAAAGTTGATGACGCATGATCCAAATAGTAATTTTATTGGCTGGAACAATCTCTGCTAAGTTGGTGGTGTTTTATTAGGGGAGGAATGACATGGGAGACCCTTGTACTTGACTCTGTTTGTCACCTAGGCTCTCTATTCATGACTTTGCCAACTGAACACTTAAAGTTATTAAAACACGTTATTTTAAACCCCTTTGATTGTTGACCAAGCTTATGTGACGTTTATTTGTTGAATAGGATGAAATGTGTGGTTACACGCGTTTAAAAGCAAGTGAAGACAAAAAATTTAATAAAAAAATATTATATAATGAAAAGAAAAAATAAGAAAAATCCCCTTCTTGGCTTCTTTCCCATTCCTTTACTGTTACTCTTCTTCTTCCTCATAAGTTACCACTGCCGCCATCATCGTTGCCCCTCCCCCACTTCATTTATCTTTCTCCAATCTCCATCTTTTTTCTATGATACTTGTTTTTTATTTTCCTCTTCTAACACGAGATTTATAGAGAAAGAAGAAACAAATAAGAGAAAACAAGATTGAAATGACAAATAGACGAAAAGGTTTAGAAAAAAGAAAAAATGAAACTCTTGAAAGATTAAAATTTTCTCCACTTTCAATTTTGATGGATCTTCCAGCCAAACAACTAGTCGGCGTTGATTTCTTGACAATGACTGTCTCAACGGTGGCTATCCGTGAATGAAGTAGCCGGAGAGACATTTTTTCCGGTGAATCAATTTTAAAAGGCTGATGAGAAACATTTTTTCCGGTGAATCAATTTTAAAAGGCTGATGAGAAACATTTTTTCCGGTGAATCAATTTTAAAAGGCTGATTTTGAAGATGAATATGAGATTTTAAAAATAAAGTAAAATATTTGTAATGATAAAAATGATATGGCAATTTTTGTCTATGTGACGATATTTATCTGATGTGGATAATGATGTGTCATCCACATCAGCACGATTGAGAGACACTCATGCTCAGAGGGGTTTAAAATAACGTGTTTTAATAACTTAAAGTGTTTGGTTGGCAAAGTCGTAAGTAGAAGAGTCTAGGTGACAAACGGAGCCAAGTACGAAAGTCTCCCAGGTCATTCCGCCTTTTATTAGGCGTTGTAACTGTGACTATCCATGACTTCTGTGAGTAGCATGTACAGTAAAATACTGTCAGCATAGTCAAAGGTTGACCAGTTCTATCTAAGAATACTCTGATTAAGACTTTCCTCTTATGGATGTGTTGTTGGATTTAGTAATGGCCGAATTAGTTAAAGACTTAAGTTCTAGGCAAAAAGTAGCGATATATATACATATATTCTTGTGCTGCCAAAATAGCCAAGACTAGTGAGGTCTTACAACTTGACAGCACAATCCTGAAGAGCAGAGTTTTTCTTTTTTAACCTGGATCATCATGCAAATGCTCTAATCTCATGTACACAGGGCAAATAATTGAGAGGATTGTCCTTTTGAAGACTTCCTTGAGATTTGGAACTGCAGACTCCTGGTTATAAGTTATAACATAATTGGCTTACATCTTTTTCTCCATTGGCAATTATCATTTGGTGTGAATGAGGGAGGCGAGATGACGTGCGGTTTAGTAGATGAGTGATCTTTCACCCTTCGAAGTAGGGCAGGGAGACAACTAAAAGTCCAAGTGAAACCTGTACAGAATTTCATCTAAAACAACTAAACAAGCCATGCTGTAAAATTGATATAGAGCTGTCCTAGTTATAGATGCTTGGTATTGGACTATGTATTCTCGGAAGGAGACGGGCAGAAAAACTGATTGCATAACACAGTTTAAAATAAAATCGAAACACCATCAAACATAGTACCAATCCCAGTGCCATATCAGAATCGATAATCATAATTTCGACGGCAAACAGTCACCCCAGAAAAGGCGAAAGGAATAATCTACATAGAGTATAGTAGGACATACATGGTTTTACAGGCATCTTTAAAAACATATAGGGGATACCCGAACTAGTTTAACTAGAAAAACACCCAGCTATCATCATCCCCTCTTGCGTTTCTGTGTCTTCAATTGCTTGAAAATGTAACTGATTACTTCCTTCAGTGTGGCCTTCCTTCCTTCCTTGAAATTCCATAGCTCAGGAATCGCGTACCTACCACTAGGATTGTATTCCTCTATCTCCTTCAGAGCTACGGTCACCGCATCATAAATTTCATCCCCCAATTCCTGCTTTAGCTTTCCCAGTTCTTCATCATTCTCATCTATCACTCTCTGCATTTGAAGACAAATGGTCACACTTCAAGCTGTCATTATGACATGAATATGCTTCTCTCTTTTTCTTTGTAATTGTTGTAAAGCAGCATGGATAGTTAATTATGGGGACAAAAGAGCAAGATTTTTTCTTTCTGCTAGTATCAAAAAGCCTCTTCGTAAAAGGTACTGAGTAGTAAACTTTAAGTGTATAAGCAATTTAACCCTCTAGTTATTTTGAGCTGTGAAGATGACCCTAAACTATTCAAACTTGTAATTGTAACATTTCTATTATTAGATTACATAAAGGTTACTGTTGTAACAAAATCACATTGATGACTGCAAATGTGAATTTGTGAGGGGCAATATAGCTATTCTGAGAAGAGAACTTTAAGGAGAATTCTCAACAATATTCTTTCCAAAATTTAAAAGAAGACGCAGATATAAGATTTCATAATACAATTCTACTTTGGGATACCTTGTGTCTTCAATCTTGAACTAGGGGAGAAGAAAAATTGAAATAGAGCTGTCAACTACAAAATGAAGGAAACAAATTTTTCTTTCTCCCAAGGGGTTGACCAAGTGTGACAGAACCTCCATCTCCAGCCATAAGGTTAGGGTATCAGGTCACAGCAGGGGAAAATGTGGGAGAGATCCACTGTGACCCTTGTGCAGAGGGGTTTGCAGGGTGTGCTTCGCTAGTAAGCAAAAGGGAGTAGCAGCGCACTTTGCCCTTTAATGAAGCTCTTCCACATTGACCAGATGCAAATGAAAAAAAGAAAAAGAAAAAGGATGGACGACCTTGGTAGCTAAGTCCCAACTCCTAAGTCCTTCACCTTAAACTCTTAGGAGTCGTTTGGTGTGAGGTATAATAATCCCAGGGATAAAATGCAGGACTATTTTATCCCGTGGTTGGAGGTATTAGGCAGTCCTAGGATAATTTATCCCACCATTTATACCTTAGTGATGGGATAAGTTATCCCATACACATGGTGGAGTAACTTATCCCGGGATACCTTGTTCCCAACCAAACAACCCCTTAAATATATAACTCTTAACAGAAGGAACTAAATTGGCATAAACAGAGAGAAACTGAAATAGCCAAATCAAAGAACAAACCTCCACATTCGACTCATCAATCATGATTGTTTTAAAGGGATGCCAGTCAGGATCTTTTATTTTTTCCTGCCACAGAGAGAGAAGTTCTACAGCCTTGATTTCAGCTTCCTGATTCGGAAATTTCTGCTTTAATGCATTCTGGAAGGCCTTTGAATCAATTTCCCCCATTCTTTTTATCCCAATATGGGCTCGCGCACTGCTCAATACTTCAAGCAATCCCTAAAGAGAGGATTATTGCAAATAACTCAGCATAATGAGAAATACAATGTTACAACAAGAAACTACATCACCATCAAATGCTTGTATGGATTCAACAAGGTTTTGACTACATTAAGTAATTGAAAATCTTACTGATACCGGATATCATACCTCTTTCAATGTGCGCCGTGCATCTTGCAACTCATCATTACTTTGGCGCTCTTTCAACAGGAGAGTCTGGTTTAGGGACTCCATACCATCCATCTCCTCCATTTTATCTTTCAGCTCCTCATTCATCTCTTTAATCTTATTTTGTACAGCTGCATCGTCATTGCCTCCAAGGTGCTTCATAACCTCTAGTTTTCCTTTAAGTTCTGCTATTTCCATTTCCAGTTTTTGCTTCGCATCAATGTCCCTCTCTAGCTCAAGAATCTTTTTCAAGGCCTCCTCCTTCTCCCTCTGGATATTTAACATCAACATGAGTAAAGCTCTGTTAACTTTGTGCTAACAACAATGGCAGAAACCCCAACTTGCAGGTTTTGCAAGAACCATATGCAGAAATATCCTTGCTCAAAAAATAAATACACACGCAAAGAGAGAGAGAGGAGCAGGGGGGGAGAAACATGATTATGAATGACACCTTTTGTTCTTCAACCAGTCTCAAGACATTCACATCAGCTTTTCTTTGTTCCACAGAGGCCATTTGAAGTGCTGAATTTCTCACATCATTCTGAATCAACAAAATAAAGTTCAACACATTATAATTCGAAAGAGTTAGCTTTAGGGGACCAGAAGCTTGAAAGATACATTCTACCCACATAATATAGGCACAATGGAGCGCCAAAATAATGTAAGCCACTGCGGCTTTATCATGATAAGAGAGAAATATTTATATATAATTTTAACTCATTCTGGAATTTGATACCTGTTTCTTCTCCTCATCAAGCTTTTGCTTTTCTCGCTCAGTTAAGGCTTCACGTTTATTCAGTTCTCTTCCCCAAGAATCAAGCTTCTTCTTCTTGCTCTCCAGCTCTAAGCTTAACATTTCCTGCTCCAGCAGGACCTTCTGTACATGCTCACGTGCAAGGCGTTGCATCTTTCGTGATTCTGCATCAAGTACACCTTAGTTATACTTTAGAAACTAGTGGAACTTTCTATTAACTGATGAATATCCAAAAAAGGAGCTCTTTAGCTTGTGATCTTTGTCAATCAAGGATCTAGTGACACCTTACTAGTTCTCAAAGCAAATGTAAGATTCATAAAGTTAGTTACATATTAAATAAAACTATTTTAAAGAGACACGCTCTAGTGAATCCCTTTTGTCCAAGTAATAAATGAAACAAGCTAATTATAGAGTAGATGAAAAAGAACTGGCACTTAACAATGTCAAGTCTAAACATTCTACCTATCAGACACATGGCAGGGACATCAGATAAGAAACATAAATTTCACAGTATCTGCAGACCAAATAGAACAATAAAAAAAATAATAAAAAAAGTTTGCAACTAAAAACCTTCAAAAAAAGAACGGTGTAGCATGTCTTTCTCCGCGAGCATCTGACGAAGAGACAGTGTATTCAAATTGAATTTTGTCTGCAGCTCATCCAGATTTTCATTTTTCATGTCAATTTCATTGGCTAGATTTGCTACAACTTCCTTTCTACCCTGTGTTTCTTCTTTAATAAGGTCCGAGATAGTCTTCAGCTCCCCCTTCTCTCGCAGATATTCGCCTAAAGCCCCTTCTGCTATATAATCATCTTCTCGAGCAACCCATCCATATAAATTTGGACCAGGGCAATCTCTATGGGATTTCCATTCTTGTTTGCTGCAGTGAGAGGCTTCGAAAGACTTCTCAAATTCCATCGCACCCTTAAAACCAGTCCAATCACTATTAAATCTCACAACAGCTTCGGAGACTGTTGCTTGGTTATCACAGAAAAGCTTCACTTCCAAAGGCATATACAAGGAGAACTTTTTTAACCAATACTCCTTGTCATCTGGAGATCTTCCATTTGCTGTTTCCTTTGATACATTAACGAAAATCCCAGTCCAAGGCCAAAAGAACAGTTCATCTTTTTCAGATTCTGAACGCTCTGGAGTCACAGCACGTTTAGGTATTGGCTCAGCCTCATTCACTAGGTCTGTTTCCAGATACTTTGCAAGTGCTAAATGGTTTGCCTTCTGTTTAGCACTACGGTTAGCTGAACCCTTGCCAACCCCTGTAGCATGTTGAAGAAGATCTTTGTACTTGTAGTCTTGCTTTTTCTTCCCTGCACAGAAGGGACACCTAAGGGATCCATTTGGGCCCTTAACTTTCAGTTTTCCTTTTCTTAATTCTTCATAAGGCTTCTCTTTAAACTCAAAAATCTCAGAGTCACTCAAATCTGATTCTTCGCCTGAACTGCTACTCATCTGGATTTGTTTAAAAAAAACTAGAGTTAATTCTAAGGATTGTACATAATTGATAATACAAACAAATATCAAGGCAAATCAAGCAAAATCATAAACAAGCAATTTAATGGAATTGAATCATAGCTGAAGATGTTAACAATAGCCTACAGCGCATGTAAAAAGCAGGTAACACGCAGAAACTATGAACGCAAGCAACTAAGAGGACTTGAATCATAGCCGAGTATGGTACATATAGCATGCTTAAATCCATTAACATAGAAGCTTTAGAACAAGCAGCTTAAAGAACTTGAATCATAGCTGAAGATGTTATAAGTAGCCTACAACACAGGTAGAAATCAGTTATATACAGAAACTGCCCGCAACAAAGTACAAAATTAAAGTGTTACCAGTCAACTGAAAGAGGGAAATCACTAACTTTAAATGAAACAATACCGTTGAAATACACCATTTAGTTTTTTTTTGAGAATGGTAACTTTTTCTTCTATTTATCCACAGGTATACTACATCAAAGTAGCCCCCCTCCAAAAGTATTACAAACTAGACCGACTCCATCTGTGCTTTTTGTCACAAATAGTCTAAAACATATAATGGTGTTTTGGTTGACACAGTATATTTTCACCTCAATTCACCAGACCTACCACTTGTAATAAATGTAGACTGAAGAAAAATATTAGAGGAAGGGAATATGATGATTCAGCCAAAACCTATCATTTTCCTCAAGTTAATAAATGAATATTCAGAGGAAAGTTAAAACAACAACAACAAATCCAGTGTACCCATGAGTGAAAGCTACCCATGGTTGAAAACCACCATACCTTAATCACAATGCCCAAAGAAATTGATTTGTGAAAGCTTGCTTTCACAACCCTAGTTGAATCTCCTTCTTCTTCTTCTTTTTCTTCAAGGTTCTAGACAGAGAATATTTTGAGAGGATGAACTTTGGGGAAATGATTTGGGTTTTGGAATATATGACTTAGTCGGGTGAGTTTTCGAGTTAAAAGGACTTATATAGTGACCCTAGGCTTAGGCAAAACGACCTCACTTAAGTTGGATTAAAACCAGAAAAGACCGCTTAGCCCTCAACTTATAGTGAGCTGCCCAGGGACCATGTGACCTTATCTGTACCTTTGAGAAGGTAGAGGAGTTGTTTCCAAAAGACCCTTGGCTAAGAAAAACAGTTAAAAAGAGGCAATAGCTCCAAACAGAAACAAGAGCAAGATAATAAGATACCGGGCAAAACAACAAGAGGAGGATAGAGTGTACGTAGACCTTAAACCTACCTCGTGGAGTTAGAGAGGCTGTTTCCGAGAGACCCTTGTTTCCTTAGGTGTGCAAAGGCATTAAAAATTGGCTCTAAATTATTTTTATGTGGTGGTTAGTTCTAAAATATTAGTGCAATAAGTAGATTCTGAGAGTCTATGTCGGTTGGAACCAATTTCCTAAATGAACTATCTTTGAACAATTTAAGTACACTATTTTCGATTACTCTAATTTGAAATTCCTAACAGTAGTCAAAACGATTTTAAAGTATGAATCAACAATTTTAATTAGTGATCAATGTAGCCCAACACAAGAAGCTGAAACTCAAAGCTATCTACGAAAACCATCCAATTTGCACTTGATGAGGTAGAATAGGATTTGAAACAGCTCTTAACTAGAACTAGAAAACAAAAGGGAAGTAACACAAGTAGATTAAAGATCCATTTGGAAAACATATCTTAAAACAAAAACAGTTTTATCAGAATATTAAGGGTGGGGTTTATGGTTACTGATAAACTAACCAATGCATAACCTTAAGTCTTAACTGACAGCATGAACTAAACACAACCATAAACCCCTTGGAGAGGAAATAAGTTCTTTGTGCACTTGATTTAGAATACTTAAAACTGCAGTTTAGGAGGAGATTACTAAATACCGACCCAGAGCCCATTGACTCTGCACAATCGTACACTGAAAAATCAGGCCATAAACACAGATTTCAAGTCTCCACCATAAAATTAGATTACTAACATTTGAGTACATTGTATTAACAAAATGTTTGAGCTAAGAAGTGGTCACATTCTTAAAGACAACGCAAGGAAATCCAGAGTTCCAAACACACACACCAAAAAAATGGAAGCAAAATAACATTTCAGATGTAACAGCCGAGAATCATCGCAGCTCTGATTATGCCTAAATTCATAAAACCAATCGCTAATACTGCAAAACCCTAACCCTAAACCCACAGAACTAAGGACAACAAAGGCATAAAAAAGCTTGTAGACAACAAAAATAACAAGTTTCAGCACAAAAAAAGAGATAAAAATCGAAATTATAACAACAAATTGGAGAAAAAATAGATCATTTTCTGCGTTCTGATACCTCTACGAAAAGGAACGATGAACTTGATTGAGAGATTTCTGAGCTCTAACAACAAAATGCAGGCGACGCCGACGGAGTTTGGAATTTCGATTGGGTTCCAATTTTATGAGTAGAAAAAGGAAAAACCTAAGGTAAAAAGAAGAGGGTCTCTGCAGTACCCAGTACACACTCAGATGGAGTAGCGTATGGATGCCACGTGTAGAAGGCCAAGATTAAAGGGGTTGGCATTTTTTTCATTTTGACACTTCAGCCCTCGAGTTTATTTCGGTTAAATCTTTAACCCATATCAAAGTACTCCCTCCATCCACAATTGTTTGTCAGAGTAAGGTCATGCACACCTCTCAAGGAAAATTTAATACAAGGTGTAATTTGACTAATATAACCCTACTATACTAAGAATACCAAAAGTCCACATAACTTTTCAATTGAACTACACTATCATTAAGGGCAGAATTGGAAAAAAGTGACTAATTATTTCTTGATTGTTTAAATTAACAATTAATTTTAGACATCTATTTTTAGTATACCTGCCAAATAATTGTGGATGGAGGGAGTATTTTATTTGGGCCATTTTTTTACTAAAGAAATGTATAAAATAGGGTGCGTAGATTTTAGTGAAAATTGCGCAAAACGACAAACATCTCCAAGTATATTATTATGTAAAATGACTATATTTTTAATTATTTTAAACTTGTGGCTAAAGTTTTGCAAAATTTTGCTATTCAACTTTTAATTGTATAAATTCAGAATTTATATAATTCACCTTGATTGTTTAAATCCAAAATTTGTAAATGACTGTAACTATTTGCATATTATTTATGAAAAATAATAAATTATCATGTTTATATATTAGCAAGAGAAATATACAAATGAAATGCTAAGAAATTCGTAAATGTATAAATACAAAATTTGTATATATGCTTACCCTATTTCGCAAGTGAAATATATCAAGCAAGCGAAATATAAAAAATTGAATATATTCTAAGCTACATGACTTGGGCTACATGTTATTTCTAAGGGAATTTACACAAATCACATAGTGTTAACTAATTAAATCATATCTCTAACTCTTTTCAAAATTACAAAAAACCATTAAATTTGGTGGAATTCGGATACATCTCAAAATGTTACAATACATCGCATACTGATTTCAGATACATTCCTCAACATTTTGATACATCGCGTCTCAATTTTGGATACATTACTCAATGTTTTGATATATCACGGAAAGTGATGTATCCAACCGATATATCGTGTAAAGTGATGTATCCCAGAATATGAGAGAGTAGGAATTTTTGTAATTTTTTTAAATGATGGAAAATTTTAAAATATATGATAAAATGAGCTGTATATTTAGATAATTTTTCCTATTTCTAATCCATTTCCCATTTTCCAGGCATTGATTGGAAATTGGAAATGTTCTTTTGGAGTTGAAGAAATATTGGGCCTTTTAATATTGCAGCCAAGAATAATGATGGGCTTTTAATTGTTGGTTAGTGTGATTGGCATTACTATGTGGACTAGCCCAGTTTGAGTTTTGGTGCCTACCTTTGCAGTTTAGTGTTTGTCCTTTTCACAATGATGATGGAGAATAACTTCTAAATCTATTGATCAAGATTGCGGTAGACGGTAAGTATAATAAGAGTTTTTGAATTCAAGTTTTCTTGGGTACATAGGTGCCTTTAATAGGAGCATTTTACCTGCACGAATCCGAATTTAGTTGAGCCCTAATATAAAAATCGACCATCAGATGAAGTTATTTTTAAAAAAATATACTCTAAGTAGATGAAGAAATGAATAAAGGTGTAATAAGATAAGCTTGAACCTAACGTTTTGAACCGATATTAGGTACATAGCGTAAAATAGCATACTACTATAGTCCTACAAGCTTCTAATTTTAATTAACTTTGTAGCTAGAATTGATGCTCATTTTATTATTCACTCCAAAAAGAAGAATAAACAAATTATCAACCGTTTAAAAGTTGTTAAAAGTGGAAAATAGTAATATTCAATTGTGAATTCCAAGACGGATTTAGTACATAACATATAAGTTCATATGAATTTAACAACTTTTGTTTAAATGAATGGATTTAGTATTCAAAATTTTATTTAAATATCTTTAAATGTTTGATTATGAGTTATCTTTTTAGATTAACTTTGAGATAGTTATGCAAAACGATAAATTTCAAATTCTAACTACGTTTCTGACTCCAATCAAAACTTCAAAACTCCATTGAGTGAAAGAAATATTATTGAAGAGAATTATTGCCACTCTAATCCATTCATGTAAGACAAGTATTCTTGTTGTTTTCCATGTGAAAAAAAGCAGGTCTATATACCTAAAATTCTCTACCAGACAATAACTATAAATTAGAAGGACCTGTGCATTTGAAATGGCATTTCTCTTAATATAGAAATTTGTTTTGTTTCACATTTTATATCTTAATTCTTTACCTTGTTATTCTAAAAAAAAAATGAAACATAGTCATCAAGCAGGCGAGCATTCTTTACCTTGAGTTTTATTCCTCGATCAGTAATAAATCTTTTCAATGTCATTTCATTTCACCAAACTCCGTTCGTGCGAACTTACTTACATTAAAAAACAGAGGGTTATGATAAGCTGACAATCAATATAAATTTTACTTCCATGATACCTAATGTGA